CAGTGAAGCAAACAAACGTATAATGAACCAAAAGTCTGAAAATAAGCGGAGATTCTTACAATAAAATGACAGCTTAACCCTTTGATTAGGGATTTAAAAAAAAATATATATATTAAGCTTTCAGATTTTTTATTACGCTCAAAGAGGCCTTTTTCTAACGTTTTGTGTGTTACCTTTATTTATTAAATATGTCCTTCGCACTCAAAAAATAAAATTCAGTTCGACAGCAGTATCGCAAAATAATTGTAAAAGAGCATATCTTTAGGATTTCTCACACACAGTCTCGCGCGATAGAGATAATTTTTTTTTTTTTTTTTTTTTTTTTTTTTTTTTTTTTTTTGGAAAGTGTTACCATCGTTCACTTTGAAATCCTTGAGCTTGTTAATCAAAAATTCGTTAAAGTGTTATAAAAATCTGAAATCGATCATAAAACAAATTCCAAATTTCAAATTTGGGCTTTCAGATGTCCATATTCGCAGTAGGATTACGTCAGTCAAAATTGGATGGCTCTAGGTACCGTTGTTTTATCACAATGCGAGGAAACATACATACATTTATGCAGATTCTTCATTATTTAATTTCTTCAAATATAATACAGGGCGATAGTATTTGGTTGCAAGGATTTGAAAAGTGATAAGCCGTTTATAGAGTTCCGATACAAAATCGCAAAACGAAGACAATAGTCCTTCAGGGACGAGAAGCCCCTTTGGACTAAAAATCTGAAAGGTTTCATTCAGATTTTAAATTACGTCCAAAGTTTTTTTTTTTTTTTTTTTTTTTTAAACGTTTTGTGTGTTACTTATTAAATACCATGTTCCTCTCACTTAAACCATAGCATTCAATTCAACAGCAGTATCGCAAAATATTTTAAAAAGCATGTCTTTAAAATTTCCGGAACAGTCTCGTGCGCTAGAGATAATTTTTTTTCCCCCCCACCGTACCGTGTTGCCATTTCTCGCTTTGAAATCGTTGAATTTCTTAATCAAAAACTCATAAGCTTTACAAAATATGAAATAGATAATGAAACAAATTCCAAATTTGAACTTCCAGGTGCACATGTTCGAGTAGAGACGTACGTTATTCAAAATTGGATGGTTCTAAATACTGTTGTTTTATCTCAATGTAAAAACATTACATATGTGTATGCAGATTCTTCATTTAATTTCTTTAAATATAATACAAGGGGTGGTTATAATTAAAGTGACCCTATTGAGATCCCTCTAGAATCTGTTCTACTTATTGAATTTTGATGAAATTTGGTGTGTATGTTCTATGGACGATGGGGAATCGATTTCTGCAATACAAAATTTCATAATCATCTTCTTCAAACCGTTCTTCGACATGGGCCCTTTTCGCAATCCCATTTAACGGCGATATTCAGGCAATGCAACTAATCTATTTCTGCCGTTCCGATAAAACAGTTTTGCCAGTAAAGCTTGATCTTTTTTCTGTAAGCACATAATTAACGATGACAAAGCCACACAGAATGATTTTGTCTCCCTGACTGCACGTCTCTTTATAGGTTTAACTAATTTTTAAGGAATTTTTGAAAATTGCCATCTGGTGGTCAAAATTTGAACTATTTTTGTATTGCACAAATCTTTTCCCCATAGTCCATATAACGTATATACGACAGTTTCACCAAAATATAGGGTTTTGTAGGGATCTGAATAAGGTTACTTACTTTATAAGGGATTTCTCACGCCTTCTTGGCATGCCTTCGTGGTGTGGTGGGCTGCACGCTGTTCACGTATTCCAGAGGTCCGTGGTTCGATTGCTGGCGAAGTCGTTGCATATTTTTCATCGTGCCTGCTTCCCTAAATACCTAATTTCTGTACACTGGCGCCCGAACTAAAAGGGTGTTGGACGATTTTTCCACCAGGATTTGGCGATTGGGTCCCCAAAAAACCCCAGTTGCTCTTTAAAAGGGAAAGTATATAAGGTGTTTCTCCCGCCTTCGTGGTGTGGTGGTCTGCACGCCGGGCTCGTATTCCAGAGGTCTGCGGTTCGATGCCCGGCGAAGGCGTTGCTAATTTTTCCTATTCTAATTTCTGATTCCAAAAAAATACCTAATGTCTCTAAAACTATTATTATAACAACCCTGTATTTGGTTGCAACAGTTTGAAAAGTGATTTGCCTTTTTGGGCTAATAATGGCATTTGGCGCTAAAATATTTAGCGTCGTCTGGGTAATAAAAGCTGAAACATGCACAACTGGTTTTATTCTGCGACTGGGATATGTTACAGTGAGTTTCTAATTAGTTTTTAAACCAGCAGTCATTTTTAATATGTTAGTGGGACATACATTTCTCGTTAGTAGTCAAAGGGTTAAGTCAGATACGGGTGAAAATAAGAAAGAATTAGACATTTCGAATATAATATTTCATCGTCGATTTTGAGAAATTATTGTCTCGCAGGCGAATCGATACGCAAACCACATAGCAAACAGTTTCTGGTTTTCTGTTCACTGTGATGAAAGGAAAATACATTTTCCACCGTATAGAATAATGGCTGAAGTTAAGATCAGTGTTTCCAGATCGTGCGATTTTTCGCAAATTTGCGGCTTTTGACAATCTTGTGCTACTAAGAGTTTAGCACTGGCTATTTTGCGAAATTTTGAGACATCCGTCGTTTTGTTATGCTACTTTTTGCAAGTTCAAAGATTTTTTTAATATATTGTAAAATGCTTTTATGTTAAAATAATGTATCGAATAAAAATAATTTATATTAAAAAAAAAAAAGTTTATTTAGGATTAACTAGAAGTTGGCATATGGCAATCTTTTTTTACATGCGGACTTTTCAAGGCTGCACAGCCTGACACCAGTATAACGAGAAAGGGGTAAGGGAAGAGGAAAGAAAGAAAAAAAAAAAAAAAAAAGCTTCTGGAACTCTCACTGCCCTTCCTCCTCCCCCTTGCGTTTTGAAAGTCAGTCCACCTCCCCAGTTCTATGGTGATAAAGAATTGAACCAAAGAAGTTGCAGCTTGCGCGCCATATATTGGGTAAAAAATGAAATTCATAATTATATATAATTAAAACATAATATAAAAGAATTACAACGAAATAAGGAATAAATCTTATAATTTCCAGAGAAAACAGTCAGCAGTCCAGTAGCCAAAGCAACGAATGAAAAACTGTTGCCAAAACCACATTTCTAAAAGAATGAAACTATCATTAGAGAGCTATAACCCATCAAAATTGTGCTTTGTGGATGACATAATTCAAAATATACAAACCTCTTTACCATTAGCTTATTAAGAGAGGGGGGGGAATTCTTTCTGTTGTGCCTCGCGAGACACATGCGCGTCAGAATAAGGAATTTGCAATGTGCGTGTCCAAAAATCAAAAGAAAATAAGCAGCATGAAATAAGCAATATTTTATCTCATAATTTTCAACAGTCAGTAGTCCAGTATATGAAGCATTGAATGAAAAACTGTTGCCAAAATCACATTTCTAAAACAATGAAACAATTTAAAATGATGCGATTTCATCCAAAAAGATATAAGTTGCATACTTTGTGTATACGCGAGACTTAAAATTTTACACATGGATAAAATGGCAGAAGAGGATTTAAAAAAAGAACAAGATCCTTAATAGGAATGACATAAGACAAAATAAACTTCGATGCCAATACGATAGTTAATAAAAACTTGTATATCGCAAGCTAATAGTTCGTAAAAACGAGGTATCTGTGTTTTATATTCATTAAGAGAAAGATTTCTGTGCTAAATTTACTAAAAATTTGTATAGTTCTTGAAAAATGCTGTTTTTTATCAGTTTAATTCTGGAAATAATAATAATTTAATAATTAATTTTATAAGTTAATTTTTATCAGTTCAGTTCAGTTAAAAAGTATATTAAAATTATTTAAAAAATTTAAGCGGTTTGGAAACAAATTAACAAGCATTCCAACGAAACTTGTTTATTGCATTTACTAAATTCTTTCAGATGTAAAACAACTACTCAAATTATACAGAATGTGCTTTTATCATTCTAGTTTTTTAATAGAACATTGTATCTATTTATAGAGCAATGTATTTTTATCATTCTAGTTATTTATAAAACATTGTATCTATTTATAGGGCAATGTGTTTTTATAATTCTAGTAATATTTATAGAACATTGTATCTATTTATAGAGCAATGTGTTTGCCCACCAGCGGCCGAGCGGTAAAGTCGCTGAACACTGGTAGTTCGGTCTGAGGTTCGAATCCCACGAACGGGCTGGCTGCATGGGCGTTTTCGTGGTTTTCCCCATGTGTAACGTGTATACGAGCAGTTTCCCTTAGAAAGCACTCCACGAAGGCATCCCTTCCCTTAGGCAGATAGCCTTCGAGGCTTTGCCATAATCTCACACACCACACCAGAGCAATGTGTTTTTATCATTCTAGTTATTTGTGAACATTGTATCTATTTATAGAGCAATGCGATTTTATATTTCTAGTTGTTTGTAGAACATTGTATCTATTTATACAGCAATGTATTTTTTTCTTCTAGTCATGAAAATTTATAGAACAATACCTATTTATCATTCTAGAAGTGGTTTTGGTATTACATTTTTTTTGTGATAAATATTAATAGAATGCTGAGCTATTGCAGTGGAAAGTTTGTTATGTACAGCTTTATCAGACTTGTTTCAACATTCTATTACTTTCAGAATGATACCCAGGATTTAATGTGAAATTTTCAGAATGCACAAGTAATTTAAAAATTTCCTGTATCTTTAAATGTTATCGTGGTTTTAAAATATCGACAATATAGTTACAATATCCATAAGCTGATGTTGAGTTTTGTTCAATTTATTTAGTGTCACAGTGTGATAATCTCTCCGATTTCTTTCAGCAAAACTCTTGAGCAGTTTTTCAAAAGTATGATAAAGATATTTGTAAACGTTATTTAAAAATTTTCTTTTGTTTAAGTACAAAAAATGGCGAATGTTGTATATTAAGCGGGGTTTCTTGGCTTTGAAGAATTCTTGAAACACATTTCCATCTGTTTCAGATCATGGCTGAAAATATCCACTACTCCTCCAACGAAGAATTAGACAGTCTTGTAAGTACCAGTTGCCATTTTCCTCCCCCTTATCCCCACTTACCCCCCTTTTTCTCATTTGCAGATTAAAGAAGGACAACCCTTTTATGTGTCCAATCAAGAATTAGACAGTATTGTAAGTATCTTCTTATTGGCTTACTTATTTTTTAAATTTGTTTCATACATTAATTTTTATTTTGTATTCCTCTTTTTCGTTATCGGTAATGTTTGACGCATGGATAGCTTGATCAGTCGTATTTTCCCAAACACTTAGTCTAGTCCTCTAAAGCAGCAGTCGTCACCCCTTAGAACTTCACGGACCACTACATATATAATTTTATATTTGGCGAACCACTAATATGAATTAAAAATATTCAACTTTCCAATACATGTAATTCTAATTTTGATTTTGTTAATATAATTTTCGAAACATTTGGTGTTCAGCAGCATGCCTTTATGGAAATTCAAGCTACGCCCCTGATTATGAGTAACAATTAAAACACTATTAACATCTCAATGATATATATATTTCGTTCACATGGAAAAATTATAGGAAAAGTACAAAAATCTTACCTTTTTGTACAGAAAGCTTCACATTTTCATATCGCTAAAAAGGAACTTCACGAAAAGCAAGAACACACCGGCAAACGCAAAGCAATATCAATTAACTGAAAGTGATATGCCGCCAATTTTAAAAATATTGTTAACATAATAATCATCGCTTACTCAGCAATGACGCCATCGATCAACAGTTAGACAAAACAAATACGGAAACATCCAGTGGTGCAGTTATAAACAAGAATGCAGATCATAAAAATCTATCAAGATGCCTATTGACAAGGAGAAAAGCTGCATTATTAACAACTACAATAGCATATGTTTATAATTCAAAAGGAAGCATAATTCCAGTTTGCGCTATTCTTGATAGCAGCAGTATATCCGTGGATGCCAACTCTCACTTTCAAATGTCGCAAGATACAGCTGCAAAATGCAAATAGTCGCTAAATAGGAATTTCGCTAAAAGTTGTAGCTAAAAAAAAAAAAAAAAGTATAATCCATATTCCATAATTGGTTTTGTTACTCGTCATTTTTTAAACTGAATCTTCATAAAAATATAAATAATTAATGCCTCAAATTTTCTGCGGACCATCAAAATGTTTTCACGGACCACCGGTTGACGACCGCTGCTCTAAAGTGCACGAATGACCGAATTACAGAACGAGTTTTATTAGCTGATTTAGTAAATGTGTAAGATGCCATGTTTACGTAACTACACACACTGGCCAATGAATTAGAAACCTTTAAGATTTTTCATTTGAATGCGTGCTAGAGATGAAGTATGCAAATTATTTTTGACGTGGGTTACACGTGGTTAGAATGCTAGTATAAGTAAGGTGTAAGAGTAGTTTTCACGATGAATGAAGTAAAATAGGAAAAACGACAGATCATTCACTATTTGAAAAAGTTCTTATTTTGTTGGTGCCCGTTCAGCACGAGCCTCGATTTCGCAGACAGCATATGTCACTGGGTTCTCAAAAGCAGCCATATCAAAGGTTTTCAAAAGTTGGAATCAGAACCCACAGTCCTTCTCTACAAGACGTAACTGCGGTTCGAGCGCAGTTTTCCAAGAGAGTGATCGGCCTCGTCTCCGACGAATTGTACTGTAGAACAAAGGACTCTACTGTGCTTCAACTGACACAGATCAACAACCAGGCTCTTCCCAACAGATTTCAGATCCAGCTCTAACGATTTCAGATCCAGCTCTAACGATTTCAGATCCAGCTCTAACGATTTCAGATCCAGCTCCAACAGATTTCAGATCCAAAATATTTGGATCTTTTCATTATAAAGACAACACGCGTCAAACAATTTTCTATGCTTTTTCCAATGGCAGATTGTGAACAATTACAAATGTAACCCAGTCCATTAATCTATACAAGGCCAGATGAGGTGGTCTCTTTATTATGGAGGCACCCAATATGTGCGCCACCATCGCCTTCCCTATGAAGGGGACGGACAGTTACAACCACGCCTTCTCCGGGATTCGAACCCAGGCCCTTCGGCATCGCAGTCAGCTTCCCTGACCACTATACCGACTGTGTATTATATTCCCACCGGGATATTCATCACGAGCTCATTTCGCCAGGGATAAAATTTGTAAGCGTAAGAAATGCCCCCTCAGATGTGTATCACACATAAAAAATATTTCGGAAGGAAACTATTCAATACAATTTTCCTACTTGTCACGTGATATAAAACAGTCAATCACAATTAACCAGCTGTAGATTACCATGTAAGAAAAGAAAACTGCTAATCCATTGAAAGAATATTATAGCACAAAGGCTTTCGCAGCAACAGAGAAACTTTCAATGCTGATACCTTGTAGAATCATTAAGGATTTTCCAAGCAGGAGACATGAAAAACTGAGCAATGCCTTCGCGGGCACTTGATCCTGGACCTCTCGAATACGCGCCGAATGTGCTATCGTTATATCATGAAGGCATGGAGAAAGGAGAGAAAAAATACCTTGTAAAATCTGTGCAGCTGTTTGCGGAATGGGGCGAAAACTGCATCTGTGATAAAACTGACAGAAAAAATTGTTTGACAGTTCATTCGACCCAAACATTTGGGTGTTTGATACCGCTGGTTACGTTACTTATTTCAATAAGCAAAGATCGCGATACAATAAACAATTTTAGGTACTATTCGGTTTCGAGGGCCGTAAAACATCGCCAAACTATTGTTGATGCCAATGCTGCCAAAAATAATTGCGGCAACCCTAATAATTGCGGCAAGAAAGGAAGTATACTAGTAAATAACTATCTAAGATTGATGTTTTAATTTAGATGAAAGGTTAATTTCATAGAATACTTTTTTATTATAATTTATATGAAAAAGGCTAAACATAACTGAATGGAAGCATAAGAGTAAATAACTATTTCAGATCATTATTATAATTTATATAAAATTTGCTAAACATAACTGAATGGATGCCTGCATCGCTATTTCGCTACCGACTTAACGCTAAAGCATAATTTCATCTCGTTGGTTGTTCAAACGTAATGTTACGAATTTGGTATTTAAAAAGCTAATGTTAGTTCAATTATACATTAAATGGTTTTATTTCTCGCGCAGTGCAGCGCGTGACGAATATTAAAAGAAAGCTAAGCCGGAAAAATTAAAAATACAAGAGCGCGTGCATTAAATAAATAAATATCTCTTTTTGATTTCGAGAAAGTGCTGGAAAATTCTAGCGCGTGATTTTAAAATCTTATAAAAGGAGGAAAACATCTCAGTTTGTAGTAGTTGCTTAGTTTGTTGTTTTTTAGAAAACTGCCGTTGTTGATTATAGCGAATTCGCGGATTAGCGTTCTTTAGCTGTTTTGAATTACGTTCTATTGTACATTTAAGTAGTTAAAAGATAACTACTGTGAGATATTGTGATACTGCATGATAATTTGAGAAAATTTAAGCATTTTTGTTGTGATAATAATAAATTTTTGTTCATTTTTCATCGGACTTGTGCATTCATTTCATAACGAACCCGTACGCACGCAACAATTTTTGGTGTCAGGAGTGGGGTTTGAATGCCAATAACAAGAGCGATGGAAGAACAATTGAGACAGCTCATTAGTGCTTTTGCTGCATTCCAAGAAAAGATGGAAAGCTGGCCAAGATCATTTAAAGGAAGAAATGAAATTGGGCCAGGAATCCGTTAAGGAAGAAATGAAATTGGGCCAGGAATCCGTTAAGGAAGAGAAATGAAAGATGAAAGCAGGTCAGGACGAAATGAAAAGAGAAATTACCTGCGTAATAGAAAATAAATTTGAGGCTATGGAAGGCAGAATAGACGCGGTTGAAAATAAAGTTGGACAAAAAGAAGAAAGAGTTTCTTCGGTAAAAGAACAAATAGAAAAGAAAGTTTCTGCCGTCGAACAGAAAACTGATGATAGAGGTTTCTGCCGTTGCCAAAGACGAAGTGATACTTTAAAGAAGATCGTAGCGTCGGCAGGGAGCAATTCTGTTAGTTTTAAATTTTTACCGATGCCTGCTCGTCCCGTTCTGAAACTATCTACATATGATGGGAAGACCTCCTGGCAGGTGTATAAGACACAATTTTCTATCGTGGCGGATGCGAATGGATGGGATTCCCAAGCTAAGGCCTGTCATCTCGCCGCTTCTCTAAGAGCCGACGCAGCGGATATCCTGCAGACGCTTCCAGAAAACCAAAGACTTGATTTCGAAGCTCTATCCGGCGCTTGGAGCTGCGCTTTGGGGAGAAGTGTTTAAAAGACTACAGCAGGCTCCAATTAAAATCTCGTCAACAGAAGCCTACCGAAACACTTCAGGAGCTCGCCGCGGATGTTGAAAGGCTGTCCCATCTCGCCTTTTCGGAGTGCCCGACAGAAACAAGGGAAATCCTGTCCCTTGCAATACTTTCATCGACGGCATCCGGATACCCTGAAATACAGAAAGCTCTACGAATGGCGGATGTAAAAGGATTTAAAAGCGCTCTGTTGTACGCCATGAAGTTCGAGGCAGCCCAGCAAGCAACTAGTAGAGATCGCTACCCAGTTAGAGCTGTGCGAGTCCATGAGCCAGTGGATCAACTGATGGCTCGTTTAGATGATTTAGCCAGACAAGTCGAGCTTTGATACGGAGTAGGAGCGAGAAGAAAGTGGCTCTAAGGTGTTGGAGATGTGGTAGTGAAGGTCACCTAAGACGGAATTGCAGAACACCCCAGGGTACGGAATATAAAGCAGATGATTTTACCAGACAAGTCAGTGGCTTGAGACGGAACAGAAGTGAAAAGAAAACTAATTCTAAAGTGCTGAACTGCGGAGTTGAAGGCCACATACGAAGAAACTGCAGAAACACCCCGAGGTACGGAAAATAAGACCATTTCCCAGCAACAACGCAGTAAACAAATTAGTGACCATATCGAGGAACGGAGGTTGCCAGATAATGAAAAACCTTGTTTTAAAGCTCTTAAAATTTATACAGTGAGTGGCAACAATAAC